AGTGAGAGAATGCTCAGAGAAGTTCTACCGAGAAAGAAAAAGTCCGCAAAGCCACTTCCGTCTCGCTGACCTTTTCAGGTGAAGATTCTCGGCTTATTTTACATTTAAGTGGATGACTCACAGGGGGGGCGGCGGAAAGGGGGAAGGTAAATATCTCAATTATCTTCTTTTATTTCTAACTTTTTCTTTTCTTTTCTTTTCGTCTCTCTCTCTCTCTTTCTTTCTTTCTTTCTTTCTCTCTTTCTCTCTTTCTTTCTTTCTTTCTTTCTTTCTTTCTTTCTTTCTTTCTCTCTCTCCCTCTCTCTCTCTCTCTCTCTCTCTCTCTCTCTCTCTCTCTCTCTCTCTCTCTCTCTCTCTCTCTCTCTCTCTCTCTCTCTCTTTCTCTCTTTCTCTCTCTCTCACGTTCTGATTCTCACTTGCTCTCTCCCTCATCCTTTCCTTCCTTCGCTTTCCCCTTATTCCTAATCCTTCCTCCCTTCCCCTCTCACCCCTCCAACCTCCCTCTCCTCCCCTCTCCCTACCAGCCTTCCCCTCTCATCCCTCCCCTCTCCCTACATCCCTCTACTCCCCTCTTCCCCTCTTATCCCCCTCTTTCCCTACCTTCCCTCTCCCTATCTACCTCCCCTCACCTCCCCTCTCCTTACCTTCCTTCTCCTCCTCCTTTATCCCCCTCTTTCCGTACCTCCCCTCTCCCTACCTCCCCTCACCTCCCCTCTTCCTATCTACCTCCCTTCTCCTCCCCTCTTTCCCTACCTCCCCTCACCTCCCCTCTCCCTACCTTCCTTCTCCTCCTCTTTTATCCCCCTCTTTCCCTACCTTCCCTCTCTCTATCTTCCTCCCTTCTCCTCCCCTCTCCCTACCTCCCCTCTTCCTCTCACCTCCCTTCCCTCTCACCTCCCCTCTCCCCACCTCCCCTCTCACCTCCCCTCCTAATTACGGGCCATTATAATCAACATGGATAACAGAAGCGACAAGCACCAAGCAACCCCCTCAAGGCAATGACCCTAAACTTGGAGAGGATGTTAGAGGGGAAGCTGGGGGGTGGGGGGGGGGGGTGTAAGAGCAAGAGGGGGGGCGGGAAGGATAAAAGGGTGGATAGGACGAGGTAGGAAACGTTGTTGTTGTTGTTGTTGTTGTTGTTGTTGTTGTTGTTGTTGTTGTTGTTGTTGTTGTTGTTGTTGCTGTGTGTGTGTGTGTGTGTGTGTGTGTGTGTGTGTGTGTGTGTGTGTGTGTGTGTGTGTGTGTGTGTGTGTGTGTGTGTGTGTGTGTGTATGTGTGTGTGTGTGTATGTGTGTGTGTGTGTGTGTGTGTGTGTGTGTGTGTGTGTGTGTGTGTGTGTGTGTGTGTGTGTGTGTGTGTGTGTGTGTGTGGTCTCCTCTCTCTCTTCTCCCCTCCTTTCTTCCCCTTTCCCTTTCCCTTATCCTTCCCTCTTCCTCTCGCTATCCCCCCCCCCCCCATTTCCGCGACAGCATTGAAGCCACGGAACCCCCAAAGCCCATGTTAAGCGGCTGTCAATAATTCCGGACTTCTGACGCCTATTCCCCATCCGTCTCCCTCCCCCCCCCCCCCCGCCCCCCCCCCCCCCCCCCCCCCTCATTTTCATCTCTACTCTTCCCTCTACTGTCCTCGTCTCTCTCTCTCTCTCTTTCTTTCTGCATCTCTCTCTCTCTCTCTCTCTCTCTCTCTCTCTCTCTCTCTCTCTCTCTCTCTCTCTCTCTCTCTCTCTCTCTCTCTGCATATCTCTCTCGCTCTCCTTCCTTCTCCTTCTTGTCTTCTATGTCCTCGTCTACCTCTCTCTCTCTCCCTTTCCCTCACCCTCGCCCCTTTTCTCTCTCTCTCTCCTTCACCCTCTTTCCTGTTCTCTCTCTCCCTCACCCCTACTCTCTCCCATTCTATTTCTCCACACCCTCTACCCCCCCCCCCCACTTGTCTCTCCATCACTCCCCTCTTCCTCCTCCCCCCATCCCCTCCCTCCCCCACCCCTCCCTCCCTCCCTCCCCCAAAGGTTTGGCCGACCGAACAACGCATCAAAAGTTTAATACCTGTGTGTGTTGGATTCGCTGTTTCGCATCGGAGTGAACGAAGGGTGAGGGGAGATGCCGGAGGGAGCGAGGGGAAAAGGGGGAGAAAAGGGGGAAAATCACAATAAAACGAGTTTTGGGGTGGAGGGAGGGAGGGTGGGAGGGAGGGAAGGAGGGAAGGAGGGAGGGAAAGAGACAGACAGACAATCGGAGGGAGGGAGAGACAGAGACAGAGGCAGAGACAGAGAGAGAAAGAGATAGATAGATAGATAGATAGATAGATAGATAGAGAAGAGAGAGAGAGAGAGAGAGAGAGAGAGAGAGAGAGAGAGAGAGAGAGAGAGAGAGAGAGAGAGAGAGAGAGAGAGAGAGAGAGAGAGAGAGAGAGAGAGAAAGAGAAAGATACAGACAGAAAAAAAACAAAAAAACAAAAACACAAAAACAGAACCCTACAAACACCACACAACAGAAAGAAAAAAAAAAGAAAAAAAAAGAGCAAGAAAAAACTAGAAACAGAACGACCCAGAAATCACAGACAACGCACACAACTCTCCCGGGGCCATATTTGCATTAGCCTCCCCTCTGCTTTCAGTTATGCCTACCTGTTATGGACACCTGTTCTCCAAACAAACCCAGGCCAATCAACTCACCTGCAAAAGAATAAACACTATTACCGCATATGCAAGTTAATATCATCTGATAAAGACAATAAGGATGAAAATTAAATTCGAAATAAGAGGGGGGAGAAAAAACCTGCACAGTTTTATAAATGCCTGAAAAGAAAGAAAATGGAAAAGAAAAATACAGGAAACAAGCGAAAATAAAATCATTTCCCTGTCTCCTTCGCACAGGCAGAGTTAAGTATGCAACAAGTGGTCCATAACAGGCAGCTTCACAACCTCCCCTCTGTAAGATGTGAGATATAAAAGAGGGGAAACAAAAAATAATTTAAAAAAAAGGTAAAAAAAAAATAAAGAGAGAGGGCTACGTACGTAAAAAAAAAGATATATATAACGAAACTAACGCATCCAACACTACTTCTCGCCTCCCCCTTCCTCTTCATAAGCCGAGGGGAATGAACGAGGAAGGAGGAAGCGAGGGGAAACAGGGGAAGAAGCAGGAGGGTAGGAAGAATGAGGGGAAAAGGGTGAAGGGGAAAGAGGAAGGAAAATGTAAATGGGGAATAGGAGAAAAGGAATTATAAAGGGTAAATGGGAGAGAGGAAAAAGGAAAGGGGAAAGGGAAGAGGGGAGAAAGAGAATGAGGGGAAAAGCGAACAGGAGGATACCGAAAAGAAGCAACACGAAAAGGAGAAAGCGAAGTAGAGGACTAGAAGTGGGGAAAAAAAAGAAGAGGGCAGAGGACAAGATAAGGTACGAATGGGGGAGGAGGAAAAGGGAGTGAGAGAAGGCAAAGGGGGAGCCGCCGCATCAAGACAGATTACCCCTTTGGCATAGCCCCCCCCCCTCCGCGTGCCCGCCCCTGCCCCCCTCCCTGTCTACTCGAGGAAGAAGGGGAGGAAAAAGGGAGGAGAGGAAGAGGCGCTTTCTATCTTTCTTTCCCTCTTTCTTTCTCTCTTTCTCCCTCCCCCTCCCCTCCTCACCCTCACCCGCAACGAGCATGACCCAGTATTGCCACCCTGTAGGCATTGCAATCCTCGGCCAGAGAGAGTTTGGGGCGGCCAAGGGCAGCGCGGTTACTCCACCACTCCATCCCTCCATCTCTCCACCACTCCATCACGGTTGGCAGCCTAAACGAAAGAATAATTTGTCTCTCATCCTTCACCCCCCTCACCCCTCCCCCCCCTCACGCACCCGAGCCAGGGGAGTGAGGGAGAAGGGACGGTTCGTGTAAAACTAACAGGTTCCCTTGTTCGTACTAGCAGGGGGGGGAGAGGGAGAGGGAGAGGGAGAGGGAGAGGGAGAGGGAGAGGGAGAGGGAGAGGGAGAGGGAAAGGGAGGGAGGGAGGGAGAGAGAGAGAGAGAGAGAGAGAGAGAGAGAGAGAGAGAGAGAGAGAGAGAGAGAGAGAGAGAGAGAGAGAGAGAGAGAGAGAGAGAGAGAGAGATGAAGAGAGAGAGATGAAGAGAGAGAGATGGGGAGTGAGGGATGAGGGGAAAGGGGAAAGGGAGGGAGAGGGAAGTTGGGAAGAAAGAAAAGGATGGATAAACGAATACTTGATGGAGGGGGGAAAAAAAGTTAAAGAAGAAAAACAAAGAAAAACAGAACGAAAGAAAGACACAAACAATAGAAAGAAAGACAGACAGAGAGACAGACATACATTCCCATACCGAAACGTCCCTAAGTCTCTACAAGTGCCGTAGCTTTACGAAACCGAACAGTAAATAACCGTAAAGACTACCAACAAATGACGCAACACTTTCCCGTGGCTCGCTGACGTAGGACCAGCGACGCCCGAGGTGGTGGCGAGAGGCAATTTGTGGTCATGAGCCGCGTTACTCAAGTTTACGCACGCTTTGGAAATCTCGCTGTCTGTCTGTCTGTCTGGCTGGCTGGCTGGCTGGCTATCTCTGTTTACACTTCTATCTATATACCTATCTATTCTCTCTCTCTCTCTCTCTCTCTCTCTCTCTCTCTCTCTCTCTCTCTCTCTCTCTCTCTTTCTATCTTTCTCTTTCTCTTTCTCTCTCTCTCTCTCGCCAAACTAGTGTAAACCTAGACAAAAAAAAAATAATAATAAAAAAAAAAAAATAAATAAAATAAAAAAAAAAACGTTGACATGTGTGCGCGTGCGTGCGTTAAACCAAACAAAACGTTTTTTTTTTCAAGTCAATCTGGGTTCAATTTTTTTTCCTCGAAATATCCGAAGGTACCGACACGCAAACACTCATTCGTCGAAATGCAAATAGAATTTTGGTTTTCTTCTCCAAAATGATGGCCTTCCTTTGGGAGCCCTTAAACAGGATGGGAACGGAGACCGGGTCATAATCGCAATAGTTATGACAATAGCAAAGGTAAGAA